TTTTATTCACGTGGGGTCCACGCTCCATGTGAGGGTCAGTCATCCATTTTCGGGCACTTCGACATTATTCTTAATCTAAATCAAACAGGCTCTTTGACTGAATGACCTTTCGAACAAGGGTACAATGGTCATTTCAATAAAAATTGACTTCTTACGTGATATAGGGATTGTACACGCAGAGTTTTAAAATGATGGGGACGCACAACATTCGATAGGTCGGGGGCTACAGGTTAAATATACTCTCTTGCTTTCTCACAGAACAAAAGATTTTACTTTCATATTACATAGAATAGCCATATATCTCTCTTCCACAACCACCACCAGTAGCCGCCTTAATAATATATAGAAACTGGACGGAGGGTTAAAATTTGGAAGCGACATCGTGGATTTATATTGTATTTTATGGTTTCTTTGCTTGATCACTGAATTAAGAAAAGTGGGAAAGAGGCGGACATGGCTCCAGGGCGGAAGCGTGGAGCGAAAGGCTTAAAGACAACGAGCGAGTTGGGTTTTGGAGATCTTGTCCTCGCCAAGGTCAAGGGTCACCCCGCTTGGCCTGCCAAGGTACATTACACTGACACTTCAATTTCAAGATTTTTATTCTTTCATAACTTTCCTGTAGATTTTTTTTCTCTATAAATCATATATCTATCAGTTTTTTCTTTGGAACTATGCATTTGAATTTACTGAAATTAATAATTCATGGACTATTAGTAAATTTCTGTTCTATCAGAACGGGTTTGTTTCATGGGAGTTCATCCAACGTTGGCAAAATCTCAATTGGGTTTCATGATTTTAGTCCTTAAATCGATTGGTGTTTTTGTATGGATGAAATTCGTGTCCCTCTAAAAAATATGATATTCTGATTTATACTTATTAAGGATTAAAATCGTGTGTGAATGTCCAGAGACATCGTCCTAGTGGACATCTTACTAACACTTTTAATTTCAAAATTTTCTTTCCTTGGTATCTTTGGTGTAGATTACTTCTTTCAACAAATTGATACTTATCATATTTTCCTTTGGAAGAACTAGGCATTTGGTTTGAATTTACATGAAATTATCACTTCATGATCAGGCAGTAATTTTTAATTGATCAGAACGTGATAAATTTATATTAGTATTTTAAGCATATAGCATGTGTTGATATTGCCCATGATTGCAAGACAATGAGAATTGGTTTTGCCAGTTGTCAGGATTTGGTTCTCCCTGGTTTTTCCCTTGTTCCCCCTTTTGATGGGGTATTTGTGTGTAATGGTGGTGTCATGGGAACAATGGTCAAAATATATTCAGTAAAAAAGGTGTTGTCAAATGTGTACATGTTCATAAGCATGCACACTAGCCTGTATATATTTATCTATGGATACACGTCACTAGTTTTCTCCATATTTATTCTAGGTTAACTTCCATTATGTAAGGAAGTATCTTTTGCAGTTTTGATTAGGATAATGGGGTGGTGTCATATTTTGGTTTTCTGTCTTTGTGATAGGCCATTCAAAGTCCTGTCCGATATATATGATAACATATGAACTGTTAAAAGTCTTGATTGTGGCCGTTAGGACATGATTTGCTCTATTCTTTCCATTTTCTAAGCAATTTTCAGATGGCGGTTTGTAATTCTTGGTGTTTTGTTGGCTGTGTTGATGTAGAATATATATGGTTCCTAATTGGATAACCTTTTGGGGGTTTGAATTTTCAGATTAGCAGACCTGAAGACTGGAAGCGAGCTCCTGACCCTAAAAAATATTTTGTACAGTTCTTTGGTACTTCAGAAATGTGAGCACCTTTTTCAAATATTTTATGAGCTTACTCTAATGCTGAAATGGCTTGCTTGGCTGGATGATTTATGACAATTTCTTGTTGTGTTTTTTCTGAGAAAAGAAGCTAAGCTTTCTGTGCAGGGAATCGTGTGTAAACTTGTGGTCTTCCCCTTAGTTCATATAGCAGGGAAACTAATTGAAAACTAAAAAACTACTCTTTGCTTCTAAATGAGCGTACTTTTCTCTTGCAGGGTACATGTGGTTAATTACTCTGACAATGCCAGAACAGTTAATTTCTTGATTGCTATGTAGCTATTTCTTAATTTTTTCTATTAACTATGAATTATAAGACTGCGGATATATGTCCTATAACAATTGTTTAACCTTTTTTTTTTTTATCTCAAAATCCATGTTGAGTCACTCTTTGGATGTTGAATGTTGTCAATCATTACTTTGAGCCACCGAGGACAGCTTTTGGAACAATATTTGCATCAGAGCTCGCTGGAGTCGAGTTCTTCATAACAAGATATCACAATCCTAATTATACACCTTATCTTAAACAGAAATATAGAAAGTGGATTCGATTTTATTTCTTTCAATATTTAGTAACCATTAAGTTGGATTTTTTTTTTTTAGTGTAAGATTATTTTTGCATATAAATGAGACTACTATTGTTGAATAATTCATTCCTTGATTATGATGTTTAGATGTATTAGAATTCTTCTCTAATTCTTTGCTCAGTTCTTCTATTCTTTCCTCAGTTCTTCTATTCTTTCCTTCTATCTTATTCTCTTTGATCATTCCACATCAGGTCAAAAGGTTGAAATGTATGTTGATAAGGTTTGGAAATTCTTATTTGGTACGGTTGTTTCTGGTAGAAATTTAGAAATTTGATATGTTTCTATTTTCTTGCAAATATGTAATGACTTGTGGTTTACTTGTTTGGTAAACCATATATGATTATACGACATTGACAGAGATATGAAAGTGCATTGTAGCTGAGAATTTGATTACGAACCTTGAAAATGATCCGTTTTGTCTAGAAATTATTTCCTTATTTTCTTGGTATTATTGTTTGTGCACTTCAATATGTCTTCTTATATTGTTGACATAGTTTCTGGTACAAATTCAAAGAGGGTTTTGTGTGGTAAGTTCGAAGTTTCCCTTTTTGCAACAGAGCTTTTGTTGCACCTGCAGATATTCAGGCATTCACCCGTGAGGCAAAAGATAAAGTGTCTGCTCGATGCCAGGGTAAAACAGTTAAAATTTTCGCCCAAGCAGTGAAGGAAATCTGTGAAGAATTTGAAGAATTACAGCACAAAAAGTCTAGTGGTATAAGAGATGATACCAATAAACTAATTCTTGGGTCTGAGCTGCCTTCAGATGATAAAGTGGCAGATAATACCTTGGAGGTTAATCTAAAAGATAATTTGAAAGGATCAAATAGCAAAATGGAGACCAAAGGGCTGGAAAACCTGAGCTCTGAGCTAAAGCCCTGCTCACAGCAGAGACAAAATGAGTCGGACTGTAAAGATATAATGCTTGACATTTCTAATGATGTAAGTCATAGTTTGTCCCCAGTTACATCTTCAAAAAAGAGGAAAAAGCCTTCTGCCGATGGTATTAATATTGTGAAGGAGTCAGGACCGACATCTAGCTGTCATTCCATACTGAAAGAGGAAGGTTCTTGTGATTACAAGTTAAGGAAGAGACATCATAATATGATCCAGACTGAATTGAAAAATGATCACAAACCAAAGCTAGCAGTGGGTTCAAAGAGGAAACCTGAGGGTGCAAATGTAGTGCTTAGAGGTTCGGCAGTTTCAGCAGCACGTAATGACTCTGTTTATCATGTTGATTTATCTTTTGAGAAACCTGAAGGTGAGACGCAAAAACAAAATTCTTCAGGAAACATGGACTCATCTATAGATAATTTGAGGTCTAGTTTAGATGTTGATAGTGTAAGGGCAGAAAATAAATTGCTGAAAGACAAAACGTATTTTGAGGCTTCAGATGATTTTCAAACAAATATCAAAGTCAATTGTGAGGAGAAAAATGAGTTTTCCCAGGGGAATATGAGGCGTGGCTGTGAAAATCAAGCCTTTCAGAGAAATGAAGTCTCCTATCCCTACAAAAGATCAAAATGTTCAGCTACTGCAGATGATGCAACCATGATAGAAGTCCAAACAAGCAGAAAAAATGATTCTAAAAGTCCTAATGTTCTTGATGACATCGATAATACAGAGGTTAAAAGAACACCAGGAGTGAAGGCTGAGAATGGCTTCTTCAGAGTGCAGACAATTTCTAATGAGCCCAATGCTTCTGTAGATGAAGATGATCTTCCCCCAACAAACTGTCGTCAACGTGCATTGCAGGCTGAAAATAGATTGGGAGGTTCTGGTGCTCGTGAAAAATATTTATTGCAATGTGATAAAGTTCGTTCACCGGCTAAGCAGTTGCCAAAAAAGCGGAGAGCTGTTCGCCTTTGTGATGAAGATGATGATTGTGAATTGCCAAAAACTCCACTTCATGGAGGATTTGCCAATAAGGTTTCTGTTCTTCCACCTGTGCAAGATTCTACAAGGAAAACTTCTTTGCATGGTAAGAATTTTGTCCAAGAACAAATAGGCTTGACCACATCTGACACAGCTGAGGGTGGCTCAAAGGAACATGTATTACCTACTCTAACATCCAATAAAGCTTCATTAGCAACTGCTAAGCAGGGCATGGCAAAGAGTAGTGAAATTTCAGCTGCACAGTTATCTTCTAGTCCTGAACAGTTATATTCTGGGAAGTTATCAACCCATTTTGGCCATTTTACGAGAGAATGAGCACTTGCATTTCTGGAAAGCTTGGATAGTCGGCATACGAAGAATTGAGCAAAACTTTTTGCACACGGTGTCCATTTTGGGCCCATAAGTACCTTTTGAAAATGTAGCGACCGTTTTGGATTGAACTCACAACTTCATCGTGACGTTCGAAGGACAGCTTTTGGAACAATATTTGCATCAGAGCTCGCTGGAGTCGAGTTCTTCATAACAAGATATCACAATCCTAATTATACACCTTATCTTAAACAGAAATATAGAAAGTGGATTCGATTTTATTTCTTTCAATATTTAGTAACCATTAAGTTGGATTTTTTTTTTTTAGTGTAAGATTATTTTTGCATATAAATGAGACTACTATTGTTGAATAATTCATTCCTTGATTATGATGTTTAGATGTATTAGAATTCTTCTCTAATTCTTTGCTCAGTTCTTCTATTCTTTCCTCAGTTCTTCTATTCTTTCCTTCTATCTTATTCTCTTTGATCATTCCACATCAGGTCAAAAGGTTGAAATGTATGTTGATAAGGTTTGGAAATTCTTATTTGGTACGGTTGTTTCTGGTAGAAATTTAGAAATTTGATATGTTTCTATTTTCTTGCAAATATGTAATGACTTGTGGTTTACTTGTTTGGTAAACCATATATGATTATACGACATTGACAGAGATATGAAAGTGCATTGTAGCTGAGAATTTGATTGCGAACCTTGGAAATGATCCGTTTTGTCTAGAAATTATTTCCTTATTTTCTTGGTATTATTGTTTGTGCACTTCAATATGTCTTCTTATATTGTTGACATAGTTTCTGGTACAAATTCAAAGAGGGTTTTGTGTGGTAAGTTCGAAGTTTCCCTTTTTGCAACAGAGCTTTTGTTGCACCTGCAGATATTCAGGCATTCACCCGTGAGGCAAAAGATAAAGTGTCTGCTCGATGCCAGGGTAAAACAGTTAAAATTTTCGCCCAAGCAGTGAAGGAAATCTGTGAAGAATTTGAAGAATTACAGCACAAAAAGTCTAGTGGTATAAGAGATGATACCAATAAACTAATTCTTGGGTCTGAGCTGCCTTCAGATGATAAAGTGGCAGATAATACCTTGGAGGTTAATCTAAAAGATAATTTGAAAGGATCAAATAGCAAAATGGAGACCAAAGGGCTGGAAAACCTGAGCTCTGAGCTAAAGCCCTGCTCACAGCAGAGACAAAATGAGTCGGACTGTAAAGATATAATGCTTGACATTTCTAATGATGTAAGTCATAGTTTGTCCCCAGTTACATCTTCAAAAAAGAGGAAAAAGCCTTCTGCCGATGGTATTAATATTGTGAAGGAGTCAGGACCGACATCTAGCTGTCATTCCATACTGAAAGAGGAAGGTTCTTGTGATTACAAGTTAAGGAAGAGACATCATAATATGATCCAGACTGAATTGAAAAATGATCACAAACCAAAGCTAGCAGTGGGTTCAAAGAGGAAACCTGAGGGTGCAAATGTAGTGCTTAGAGGTTCGGCAGTTTCAGCAGCACGTAATGACTCTGTTTATCATGTTGATTTATCTTTTGAGAAACCTGAAGGTGAGACGCAAAAACAAAATTCTTCAGGAAACATGGACTCATCTATAGATAATTTGAGGTCTAGTTTAGATGTTGATAGTGTAAGGGCAGAAAATAAATTGCTGAAAGACAAAACGTATTTTGAGGCTTCAGATGATTTTCAAACAAATATCAAAGTCAATTGTGAGGAGAAAAATGAGTTTTCCCAGGGGAATATGAGGCGTGGCTGTGAAAATCAAGCCTTTCAGAGAAATGAAGTCTCCTATCCCTACAAAAGATCAAAATGTTCAGCTACTGCAGATGATGCAACCATGATAGAAGTCCAAACAAGCAGAAAAAATGATTCTAAAAGTCCTAATGTTCTTGATGACATCGATAATACAGAGGTTAAAAGAACACCAGGAGTGAAGGCTGAGAATGGCTTCTTCAGAGTGCAGACAATTTCTAATGAGCCCAATGCTTCTGTAGATGAAGATGATCTTCCCCCAACAAACTGTCGTCAACGTGCATTGCAGGCTGAAAATAGATTGGGAGGTTCTGGTGCTCGTGAAAAATATTTATTGCAATGTGATAAAGTTCGTTCACCGGCTAAGCAGTTGCCAAAAAAGCGGAGAGCTGTTCGCCTTTGTGATGAAGATGATGATTGTGAATTGCCAAAAACTCCACTTCATGGAGGATTTGCCAATAAGGTTTCTGTTCTTCCACCTGTGCAAGATTCTACAAGGAAAACTTCTTTGCATGGTAAGAATTTTGTCCAAGAACAAATAGGCTTGACCACATCTGGCACAGCTGAGGGTGGCTCAAAGGAACATGTATTACCTACTCTAACATCCAATAAAGCTTCACCAGCAACTGCTAAGCAGGGCATGGCAAAGAGTAGTGAAATTTCAGCTGCACAGTTATCTTCTAGTCCTGAACAGTTATATTCTGGGAAGTTATCAACCAGGGTGGTTAAAGCAGTTTTAGTTTCCCCTAAAAGGCCCCTGCAGTCTAATGCTGATAACAAATTTTTAGCTGAACTAAAGAACAAGCACTTCAGCAAAGCACCTGGTAATTTTGCTCAGAAGAAAGCTCCAGCAGGATCCAACAGTGGCCCTGTTGCAGCTTCTGATAGGTTAAATTCATCTATCAATAAATCAACAAATGAACTGAACAAACCCACTTCTTCTGGAGACAGAAGGAAGAATGCTCCAAAATCAGATTCATGGATCAATGATTCTGTTGTGATGGGTAGTCAAATTGAAAGTATTGCCTCACTTGGTGATAGGTATTCTTTAAATTCTTGTTACCTTCATCAACAGATAATGTTAGTTATCTTTTGATGCTCATAGTTAAGTCTGCTTTTCTCAGGCCGGATGTTGTTAAAGATGACAAAGAGAGTTTTCCAATTGATTCGAAGTCTATGAAACATCTTATTGCTGCTGCTGCGCGGGCAAGAAAGAGACAATCTCACTTTCAAAATTGGCATGGAAATCCTCTTCCTCTTTTGGTTCCAAATGCTGACATTCCTGGAAGGAGTCCAAGCCTTGAACCTGTCGCCCAAGCGTTTGAATCCAGGAGTGTGCCCCGATTGGATGTACAAATATTACATCCCCAATCATCTTTATCCTCTTCTTCATCTGATGTTCGCAAATCTTCATCCACCAATCAACATGAGAATGAAGAATTTGAGGAGAGGATAGTGAATTCAGGTAAACGGACTGCTGGAGGTTCTCTAAGTGGGGGTACAGAGGCAGCTGTTGCTCGTGATGCATTTGAAGGAATGATAGAAACATTGTCAAGGACCAAAGAGAGCATTGGGCGTGCAACTCGTCTCGCAATTGATTGTGCTAAGTTTGGGATTGCCAATGAGGTTGGTAATTCTTATACAACAACTTTCTTCTTTGTTTGTTCCAAGCAAACTAAAGCTTGCATAATAAACCATGACTTTGTTCGCTAAATTGGTTTAGCCACTTCCTTTTGCAATTTCAAGTGGTTCAAGGAATCCCAGGTCTTCTTTTAGGTGCGAAGGGGTGAGGGTGGGGTGGGGGTACTCTGGACAATACTATACAAATATCAGCTTTTGAAGTCACAAAAAAGAGTTCTCTTTTCTCTTTCACACAGTTAGAACTACAATGATGAACCCATAAAATCAGTGCAAGCAAGAAAATACTTGGGCAAAGAGACATGACAAGTGTGGAATGCCTCTCACAATGTATCTCCTGTACATTTTAGCGAATTCATGCTGGAGACTTGTGGTCAATATAGCTTGATAAGTAGCTGCTTTGGTGGTGGTCTGGTTATCCAGATAAAGCAAAACTAGGACTGCCGTGGGTTGTAAATATCTTTCTACAAAGATCAGTGATACTTCTGTGTTTCACTTTTTACCTGATTGCTCTGGAGTCAAAAACCTTATCCACGTTTGCACGTCAAGTTTCACTGAACAAGAGAAACGAAGATGACAACCTCAGATGACTGACAACTTATGATAGTTGGATTTTTTAACTAAGTCTGATTAATGAATATTTTATGCAAGTCCCACTATCATTTATTGGATAAGTAGATGGATGAGGGTAATATTTGATCTTCTTTCCCTTGGCTGGTTAATGGGTGATGAAGAATGGTTTCGTTCTTCTTTCCTTCTTGATTATGGGGGCTATGTCCTAGCTCTCATCATCAAGAAGGATGTCTCTCTATGGTTGATTAACCCTGTTCCTTATTTCCTTCGATATGTTTAGTCTGCCATTTATGATGACTGTCAATGTAATGATTGAAAGAATATGGGTTTTTCTTTGTATTAGCAGAAGGAATTATGTTGGTCGTATGATGCCTGTTAATGTGATGGTCTCTGTTTTGCTTTGTGTTGGTGTTGTTTCTGTAGACTTAAGCTAATGTTGTGTTGGATAAATACCAGAAGGGGTTTAGATCACATTGGTCTGGAGTGGAATGATTTGAAGGAGCTCTCAGCTGGCTTGATTGATTGGAGGTATTTGATTGTGGGAAATCCAGAGAAGGTGCTTTTGAAACTCTAAAGTGGAAAAAAGGAGGCATTCAACCCCATCAGCATAACAAAAATTCTAGATCCACTAACGGATAAAATATCATTAGTTTAATCTTTAGTCATTATATTGAATTCGTAGCTGACGTGTAAGAGAACTTTCATAGGACCAAAGGAAAGATGAAAATGGGAGAAAGAAAGGAATAAAACTGGAATTTCGAGAGCAATTTTGTTGACATTTTTCTTGGTTTCATTAGATAGAATTGTCTTCCTTCCAATGAAGAATTTAACTTTATGAAACTGGGTGAGTAAATAAAGTGACAGGGGAGCTGCATCCTAGGAAATATTATACCTTTATTTGCAACTGGGTCCAGTAGTGAAGAAAAGTACAAGAAGAAAAATGTAGTTTTAATTTAAAAACGAAAATCTAGTCTTGATCTATAATTCCTTTTTGGACCCACATTTGGGGGTTGATTATAAATTTTTACAAATAGTAGAGCTTTCAATATGGTTCTAGAAACTAAAATGATTGATATCATTTTTGGTAAGTTCTCTCTATTTTTGGTGGCACTTGCTGCCATAGAACTGATTTGTTTAGGGATGCTAGAGATTCTTGTGTTCTCTTTTTTCTTCTCTTTGAAATGAATTGGCAATTTACTGTAGTAGAAGCTTGGTTTTGAAATGTGCTACGGGAGAGGGTTAATTGGCAGTACAAAATATCACTATGAATGAATTTTTTTTGGATAGCTGGAATGTTCTTTCTGATTCTTGGTGGATATAAATAAATTCAACTTCTTGATTATAATGTTCTGCTGCATGAACTTCGAAAACATAGTAGGGTGAAATCTTTGTATACCCGGAGGAAGAGGTCTTGGTGGGTTTTGGGGGGTGGGGGTTTGTCAACTGCCAAGGACTTCCTGTGTAATGTCACGCCCCGAAAGCTTGTGTAAGGAATATTGTTTTACTTGAGATGTAAGAGACTTGCAAAAAGGAGGTTTTGCTGGATTTAGTTGCTATTAGAAGCTATCCTAGTGTAGATGGGATTTATATTCTAACTTCTAAGATTTGTTAAGACAGAAGTGATTTCCATTGCATTTAATGAATTTGAAGGTCATAATTAGAGTGTGTACCCCATAAATAGAACAAAGAAAGATTGAGATTCAATGAGGAGTCATGGATGTCTGGTGTGCCTAATTTCTTGTGATTCTATAGTGCTCAAGTTGGGCATGATGGGAGCAGAATGCAATTCTTTAGTCATCCCTAAATGTAATATTTAGCCCCCGTTTGGTCCCCATTCTTGCCAAATTTTAATGGTTGGAATATTGTTTTTTTTTGAAAAATGTATGGTTGAAAAAAAATGGAAAGTTTTTTATTTGCGTATAATATTATTTTATGAAAGATTGTGTGGTTGAAAATAAGAGAGAGAAAAAGAATGAGAATGGGTGCCAAACAGGGGCTTAAGTTTTCTGAGATTGAAGATTATAAGCGGTTAGTGTAATTGTCTTCCTTCAGTACATATGCAGTCCTAACTTTGTTAAGTTCTCTTTGTGTGCCTGCATGTGCAGGCCCAATCTAGTGTGCTGTATACACTTTTAAATACTTATTGCAGGTTTTAAGGGATTCCAAACTTTAATTATTTCACTGAAAAATATACTTTTTGAATGGGCTATATATTTTCTTGAAATCAACGGTTGAAGTTGTTATAGTTAGTGTTGCCACTTTGCGCCCTCAAAACTTTTACCGGGAGTAAGTTGATGAACATGTACTGATGAGTACCCTGTTCTGGAATATCGAGTGGTGGTGATTTATTAGCTTAGTATTTGAACACGCAGTTCAATCACGCTACTTAAACTGCAAGCTTTAGGTAGTGTGATGTTAGTTCTGTTTCACTCTCCTTTTTTTTGGATACTTGTTCTAGGCTTATTGCTATTCTCTCCACCCTTTGTACTTCACGCATTTCTTTGGACAAGTTGGCAATATTTTTAATTGGTGACTTTTGGCAGGTTGTGGAACTTCTTATCCAGAAGTTGGAAAGTGAACCAAGTTTTCATCGCAGAGTGGACCTGTTTTTTCTAGTTGATTCAATAACTCAATGCTCTCATACCCAGAGAGGTATATAATATCTAAATTTGCATCACAAGTATAATTATTCTTTCTCTTTACCTTTGTCCTTCCTCTCACTTTATGTTTGTGCGATTTAGAAATCTTGATCACCTTGTTTCAATGCTTAGAATCTGTTACCGTTCTTTTTCTTTTCTTGGTAAGAAACATAATTCAATCTTCAAACAAAATAAAGTCAAGTCAAGAATACAAGGTGTTTTTCTAACTAATTACAATTAAAGAGAAAGGAATACTCTTAAACTCGTTATTTTACTGAAATCCACAAGGATAAAACGTAGACATGTTCCATAATTGAAAAGGTTCTTGCTCTTTTGCTTCGATTATCGATCCAGATCACCTTAAAATGGTTAAAACTATCTACATCTATGATGCCGCCCCTTTAATGGTAACTGAAGCCATTTATATTTCTACTGTTCTGTTAGAGATAATGTTATCTGACGTCATCCTTGCTTCAATCCTTTACCCTCTTTTGAACACCCCCTCCCCCCTTTTCTCTCTCATCGCTCTTAGGAATTTATTATATTTTTTGTTACTTACAATATATTTCTTCAGGGATTGCAGGGGCCTCGTATATTCCTACAATTCAAGAAGCATTGCCCCGTCTTATTGGAGCTGCTGCTCCACCTGGGTCAGGTGCTAATGAAAATCGTCGTCAATGTCATAAGGTAAATATGCTTGTATCTAAGAGTGATCCTTTAAACTACAGGCAGGATTACTGAAGCACATTTTTTTCCTTAGGTCTTGCGTTTATGGCTAGAGAGAAAAATATTGCCAGAATCTGTTATTCGCCACTGTATGGATGAAATTGGAATATCAAATGATGATACATCTGCTGGATTTTCCCTAAGGCGTCCTTCACGAGCTGAGCGGGCTATAGATGACCCTATTAGAGACATGGAAGGCATGCTTGTGGATGAGTATGGGAGGTCTGGAATTTGTGCTCTTATCCTCAAAACATCTTTCTTTTCTATTTCCTATTTCTAATTTTGTTTCATTTATGTGTTTTCGGCACATCTCCATCTTTTTGTCTTGAAACTTTTTGACTTGGAAAGACAAGATTTAAATGATATGCACGTGGTCCTCTCTCTGTGAAAGCTTAAGCTTTTAGATTAAGGCCCCGTTTGTTTCTCATTTTTGTAAAAATGAGAATGAAAAATATAGTCGTTACGGGCCCCACACAAGAGATAGAAATTCAAATTTGGTGGTTTGTTGTGATGGATAACAGTCATATTTTTCATTTTAATGAGGAAATAATAGGAAACAAACAGAGGTTAAGTGTTCAATAATTGCCAATTAATATACAGAAATGCTCTGCTTGCTAGACAAGCTTTTATGTACTTGATCATAACAAATTTAGTTTTGAGTTTCTAGATAAGTTGTACAGGAATGTAGTACTATACAATTTCATCATACTCGGTCATATAGCCTGCCTTCCTCCTGCCTCACCCCCAATATTAAAGACCCTAACCCACCCACGTGTACAAAAAGAGCCCCTCCCCTCGTTACCCAATTTCCAATCAACTTAAAGTAAATTTCTATGAATTCTATTGGAAGTTCAATGGCAAATTATTAAGCTTTCTTGGTTGCCTGTGCAGTTGCTTGTGCGGATTGGACGGTATTAAGAAAGAGAAAAATCTAAAATCTTGTTTTTTGAAGTGTCCCATCCTATCCAATACTATGAACTAAACATAACCTTAATGTATTCTTGGGCCTTTTTAGCTAGAATAAAACTTTGAACTTCAGATATTGCTTCCTCGGTTGAAGATATATTGTGGCTGCTGTTTCATCTGACCAATTTGTTTTAGTCTAGATGTACATGAGGTGCTGAACTAATTTATAACTAGGCTGTGCTGAACTAAATTATAACTAGGCTATCTGGTATGTTTTCTGAGCAAGCCTAACAATAGTATAGGTTCCAAACTGATATTCCAAGTTGCATGGATACACGATAAGATCACGACATGACACAACATAGACACATCAGTTATACATCGATTTAAACTCATTAAAATTAAAATTTTATATATTATGTCTTTATTTTTATACTTTTGATATTAGACAAGGCACATGTCATGTTGAACAATTGCTCGAGGAATTCCCCTAGGTCTCTTGAGCGTTTGACATATAAAACATATATGTCTGAGAAGTGTCATTGTTTGACACGACATGATAACAGGTTGGACATTGACCCACTGCCCTATGCTCTAAGTATCCTTAAATGGAATTGGTTTGAGTAAATTATTTACTGTAGTCTAAGCAGGCCCACATAATAGAAACTTTCTATCTATAGGAATTCAATACACTACACTATAGTGTCTATAGAAAGAGAAGGATGGAATATAGAATTTTAAATAAATATTGAATATTCTAGAACATAACCACGAATATAGCATAAAAAATTTCGATTTAGGAGTGTCCGTGCATCATCGCTAATATCTATGATTATTGAAAAACCATTAGCTTTTTGGCATAAACAATTGGTTTGGTGGCTGATTACATTCTTTTGTTAACGGTCTTCATCTTTCTCTTTGTGTTTAGCATATACTGTAAGTAATGTCAGTTTATTCATTTGAGTTGCACTTTGACAAGTTCCCATTACTAGTTTCCTTTTTCTCGCTAAAAGGACTATTCTATTATGGTAATGACATTTAGTCCCTGTTTGAGCCGCATTCTCTAAAACCTCATTTTTCTCCATACTCATTTTCAACCACACTTTCTCCCAATTAAATAATTTGTACGTAAACCCAAAATTTTCCCCCACTTTTTAACTATACATTCTCCAAAAAAATTGCTATTATAAAATCTATTTTTTCAAAAGATTGGACTCAAGCACAGCATTAGTGTTCTCGTCACTAGTGCTGTTACATTTTTATTGAACATTATATTGTAAATTTCAATTGTTATATTCTGTAGGTCTGTCATTTTTTGCTGTTTTACTTTGTTTGGCCATGATTGGATGTATCTATTGCAGTGTCATTGTTTCGTAACTGAAGTCAATTATTACTCCCCTTATTATGCTAATAGACGTCATGTATATGCTGAACTGTATCAGAATTGCACGTCTTAATTATTAATTTCTGTGATGTCTGCTCTGTGTTGGGGATTATGAGTCCAAACAATGAATTCAATAAGTTCTTGCCAATAACCACTTCCAGTGAATTGAAATGCTAAAGTAAAAGACCGTACAAAAAGAGCACCTAGGAACAAAAGGCACGCAGATTTAAAATATTGGTGTCTTTTCCTGTGAACTAGTATGCTTTCTCTTTTCAGACTTCGAATTTTGACATTTTTATATGGTCTTCTGCTATGCATATGTTCCTTTTTTTGTGGTTTCAGCAATGCTACATTTCAGTTACCTGGCTTTCTGTCCTCTCATGTGTTCGAGGAAGAAGAGGAAGAAGAAGATACCATTCAAGCTAATTTGTGCAAGGAAGTTGCAGATACTTCACCATCAGAATGCACTCCATCAATTGGAGATCCTGAAACTTATACCGTTACTCCAAGTGACAGGCGCCCCTGCACTTTAGAGGATGTGGATGGCGAGCTTGAAATGGAAGATGTTTCTGGACAACAAAAAGATGAAAGACAATTGCTTTGCAATGGGGTCTTTTCTCTCTCTTCAGCTGAGAAAATTTCAGATAGATTGCTTGAGTCAACTTCAAACAATTCTATTGAGTCACTGCCAGAACCTGAGGGCTCCCCACCTTTGCCTTTTGAGTCTCCTCCCTCAACTCCACCTCTACCCAGTTCACCTCCACCTTGTTTGTCTTTGTCTCCACGACCACCACCACCACCGACATCCTTGTCACAGCAGCACCTATATCCTCAGCGACCTGTAGATTATCTTCCAACATTGCTTCCTCCACCATCATTTCCACCTCAGTCTGCAGTGAAGTCACAAAGTTTTCCCTCATTTGCTTCAGCAATATCAACCTCTTCACCTGCAGCAGCTTATCAACATCCTCCTCTACCACGTGAAATTGGTGGTATTCCCACTGTAAGGCTTCTATTGTCCCACTCTATGCAATTTTATTGATCTAGGATTAATCAGACTTTAACCAATTCTATTTACAGGGAAGTCAATTTGCTCAAATGGCTGTAAATAATCCACATGGGCCTCGTGTTGATGCATCTGTCGGAAGTGAAACATTGGCACAGGAATCACCTTGCTTTCCTCCAGCTGGAGTGAGCAATGCACGGGAGCATTCTGGTTATAATATGCCAAGGCCCTTAGATTATGGACAGGGTGACACATATATGAATCACCAATCTTTTCAACACGGGCAACCATTTCCACCTAGTGGTGCTGCGTTTGCACAAAGGCCTCTCTGTCCTGATCCTCCACCTCAACACTCACACAGTCATTACACCTATCCAAAACCCTCTGTCCAGGAACATAAATACCCGACTTACTCATTGCCAAATTTTTCTGGTGCACCAAGGAGGTTTGCAGTTGATGAACATTGGTGGATGCAGTCAAGTGGGTTGAATGATGGTCGTCCAGGAAGTGGGTGGATGGCTGGAGGCAGATCATTTTCAGGTCCATCTGCGCACGCAGGTACTAATTTTATTGTTTCCATCGGCAGTTTTTATCATTGTATCTTTTTATGTTCAGTTGGCTCACGTTAGCCAGGTTACTATGACTCATCCATTCAACGAGATTCGTGTATCACGTGATGAACTTTTTCATTAGTTGTATGCATGACTGGCTTTGACTTCCTTTCTTTCGTGGAACTATGTCACTTCACAGATTTTTAAGTTTGTTGTCCTCTTCATGCATTACAGAATAATGAAACGACGAATTCATGCAAACTGTGCAACTAATTGAGTTCAGTTCAAGACTTTGTTACTTGTTTGAATCCTTATGTGATCTTTGGATAATTTTCAGTGGCTAGGAGCTATATATGTGTCTTGCATAGGGTTAGCTCCATTTTTTCTTTGGTTAAACTTGATGTGTTCTGAAGGAAAATAAACAATTGCAAAAAAAACTTCTGAGCCAGAGATTTAGTTAATTAATTTTACTGAGATAGTAAAAGTTCCATTGAGGGATGCAAAGTCCTTGAACAGTTGTAAATTATGTTTTTTTCCACATCAGGTTATTTTGGACCACCTCCTGAAAGGCCTCCTACAAGTAGCGATAGTTTTCATGCCTCTACCCCAATGACACTGCCAGCTGCAACTCCAATCTCAGGTGGTCTTTTTGTGGGCAGAAAAGCTGCTCATCATCTGTTCAGTTTCGTACTCCTATGATCTAAGTAGACATACTCCTACCGAGGAAGTGTGTCCATGACCGACACTTGTCGCATCATATTGGACACAGACACTCCAGGAGATGTGTTCAACAAGCTACATGTCGTGTCCTATTTTTTTAAATTCTTGACACAAATGATACTTCAGGGACACTCCTCGGACAAGTGTCCCACATGGCCCTTATTTTAAAATGTATAGAAATAAAGGATATAACAAATGTAAAATTTTAAAATTTTCAAATCTACATGTCCCCCATGTGTCCATATCCTCATCTTTGAAAAACCACGTCTACGTGTGTCCTTGTCCATGATTCTTAGCCTATGATTATAACTTTGTGCTGTATTTTTATAGGTCACGGTATCCCTCACATGTTGCCATGCAGACCAGACATACCTGCCATCAACTGGAGGCCAGCCTGAATTTTTCTGAAACCTACTGTAGGAATTTCTCCCTCTCCCTCTCTCTCTCTCTCTCTGCAGACCCTTTAACAGGTTATTTCAGTTATTCATTATTTGTTTTGTGCTGTTCTCTATTTATAAAAATCACTTGACTAGTTTTCTCAAAGGCAGATAACATGTTTCTTTTTGAGTTGAGTTCTTTTTTCCTATTTTTTTGCCATTAATTGCAAGTTACTTTTATAATGATACTCAATTAAGTCGGACATAAGTCTGCTGCTTTTGGATTTCCACTACATGATTTATTCATCTGCTCATCATTCCAATGATGACTAGTAGATGTCCCAACCCCTTGATTGAATGCTTTTCTTTTTTAAAATTGACCGAGTTTCTTTTCTTTTTTTCTTTTTTTTTTCCAAGTCGTAGGTGATGGATGAAGAAGGATTTCTGTTAATATCGCTTCGGCAGAAATGTTGAATTAGAGCTAGAGTAACTTGACATGGTTGTATAATGGAAATTTTCTGGTCAAATGCATCCTGCAGGCATATACCGTTAAGTGTAAGCTCTTTTTACTCAATACAGTGGTGCTTGTAATTATACTAAATATTTCCGAGAATGAATTTACTGAAAGCTACCGGTTCAAGTTATGAAAATAGCTTCTCTCCTGTTTCATTCCCAACCCTATCCACCTTTCTTTATTTGTGAATTGCAATGAGGTATAACAAGTAATTCGCGACAGTGAAATGTTTAGTCTCTATTTCGACCTTATTAGGTAATGAAACAAAGCGTGCTGTTTCTACCACTGAACAGAGCCTAGGAACCAGACTAATCCATCCCAATTCAGGGCCAAAATGGGACTGGACCAGAATAGTTTTCGGTGGTTTTGTTCCCCTCCCTTCAGATCTGCAGACCTTTTTAACCTCCTCTCTTCTTTCTTCTTCGCCCATTTTATTGCATTTCTTGTTCTCCTTGCATTCCCCTCCCTTCAGATCTGCAGACCTTTTTAACCTCCTCTCTTCTTTCTTCTTCGCCCATTTTATTGCATTTCTAGTTCTCCTTGCTAGATTTTGTTTAACCACAGATACTGTGGTGGTAACTGGATTGGAGTTTTTAGTGCTTGTGAGTGTGCAGGAGTATGGAGACGAGGTGGGACGAGGATTGGAAGCGTGTGTAATGTACAACAAGATAGCAACAGGAGAAAGAGGGGGGGAAATAGGAGGGAGACCAGAATTTAGGAGGAAAAATTATTTGTTGAGGTTAGTAACTTTGCCAAGGCAGTGAATCGGTGGTTCAACAGGCAGGTCATTAATTTAATCGATGGGTCATTATGGTACCAATGCGTAACTAATATAAAACACTAGTTGATTATAAAAGTAAACTCATTCGAGGGAATTTTAACCTCTAAATTGAGTTTTGAAAAAACTTGACCTCCCAGTGTGTCAAGTTTTTTGGGTATTTAGTAATTGAAATTGTTGAGTCCAAATTTGATTATGGAATCAAATGGGTTCGATTCAGTTCAATTATATTCGGTTCCCGAGTTCCATGCAATAATTAACTTTTTTAATATTTATAATGTTACATTAATTCAACTAGTGATATGTTAAATCTTAGTACTTACAAAATAATGTAGTCCAATCTCGTGATATCTTTTGAGTCTCTTTGTTGAGTTTTTCGCAGATTTTATTGTTAAAATCACAACAAGAGGAAGGTAGCAAGTTCACAATAATGAAAAGAGACGTAGTTGAACTTCGAATTCGATTTCTCCATAATGAAATATATGGCACTACTGTAGAATGAGAGATTTGGGTAAAATTTAGGTTAATTTGATTAAGTTGAGCTTATGCTTGAGCTGGAAATTAGAAATAGAAAAAAAATTATATTTTAAGTTTGAGTTAAATTAATTAGTTAGCAAATTTATTTTGAAAAAAATAATTTAACTTATTTAATATAGAAAAAAATAAAAATATAAGAGAGATTCAGCTCATCAATCCTTGGTCTAGAATCGAGAATCGAATCAAATTCGTCGATTTTCGATTTAGATACTCATTCAGATATTTAATTTATAAATAATTGCTATATTCAGTTCAATTCGAAAAATTTGTCCAGCCCTACAACAAACGAATAATCTTTGAGTCCACCTGTTTTCGGATAACAAGAGTATAAGATTCTCAAAGAATCTCTTTTCTTCCCATGAACTTTAAGGTGTGAAATTTTATGTCATATAAAACACATATAAAATAATATTTATTTGGCATGAAAAGTCAAACATTTACATACTTTTAGGGGATACTTTTAAAATTGATCTAATCAAAGATTCTTATTTTCACTTTGACTTTTAAAAACTTGAAAATTATCACATTAAGCTCTTGAATGGTAAAACACATATATGCCTTTAAATATATTATATAATTACAAAATATTGGATAGTTTCAAAGACATTATTGCCGTTTTAGTTAATAATTGAAAATCAAACACTTTCCCACTTATAAAATTGCAGAATGAGCTTCGAACACAAAAAAACTATCATTTTTATCTGCTTGAACTTCAAAATATCAAAAAACTTTCAAACATCAAAATCGTAATTTTTTTCAGATCAATTACTTCAAATCGGTAAATATATTTACACATGCTTAATTTCGATTTCAATAAATTAGTGTACGTTTGAGTAGTTAAATAACACAGTAGTTAGTAGAAATTTTTTTTAACAGATCTATAATTTTTTTCTTTAGAACCATAGAAAAATTAAAAGTCGTACGCAAAATAAACAGTCCGACGATTAAATGTAGGATGTTAACAAAAATTGTTAGACAGCAGACAGACGACTATCAAAAGACTGTTTAACAGTCCACAGTCGACTGTTAGACGACTGTCTAACAGTCCATCGATGGCTGTTAGACAGTCGGCTGTTCGACTGTAAAACAGTCCACAGTCGGCTGTTTTACGAAAAAAAATTTATTATTAATTTTTGTTTTGGCAATTGTCTTATAATTTTAATTTTCAAGTTGATTAAATAAATAAATATCTGAATTTTTGTTGTTGTAATTGATTTAAAAATTCTATATTGTCATGCAGATTTCGGTGATTTCGAATTGAATGAAAATAATAGATGGAAATGGAGATGGACGAGTGATGTATGTGGTTGTATTGCAATTCTCGTAACAGAGAGTACATCATATGCGGAAGTGTACCAGGATTTGCAAAATAAGCTGAATGTCGATTCGTCTCAGTACGATATACAACTGAGATATTTATTCAATGGTTATGGGAATTCGTCCATTCCGATGCCACCTATATTTGTTACTAATGATGTTGAATTGAATTATCTATTAGAATTGAATAAAATACATAGGACTCCAACTGTTCTTGGCGTGACTTTAGTTAAGAAGGATATTGTCGAAGGTGAACGCGAATATTCAGATGGAGCGGATAATAATGATCGAGATTTTTGGAAGACAGCGGAGATAGTTCTTGCAGATGATGTGGTTATTCCCGAGACAGTTGCTACTGATCGTGAAGCCACTGTTACGCACAGAATTTTGTTGACAGTTGAGGACAACGAAAATATAAATGATTTTACAAATGAAAATTTAATTGTTTTATCCCGACAGAGACCTGAACGGGGTAGGAGCTCAGGGGATGGAACAAGTGGACCGTCCTCTTTGCGTGTGGCTCCCGATGATGAGGATTTGTATGTCGAGCAACTATTTGAAACCAAGAAAGATTTGCAGGAAACTGTGCACTAGATGACATTAAAATATAACTTTAAGTTCAAGGTAAAGAAATCAACCAAGTCATTGTTGACAATTGCCTGCGTTGACGAAAATTGCAATTAGCGCTTGAGAGCAACTAAGATGGACACGAATGAGTGCTTTGTAGTTCACAAATATGCACGGGAACATACTTACGAAGTGAAAATTTATCGAAATGATCACAGGCAAGCTCGAGCATGGTTTATTAGTCGACAGATAATACACAAGTATCAGGATTCACGGACGATCTACCGACCTACGGACATCATTAACAACGTCCGTCGAGAGTATGGAGTGGTCATGAGCTACTAGAAGGCCTGGAAGGCCAAATAATGTGTGTTTGATGATTTAATAGGATCAGGCGAGGAGAGTTATGCTAAATTGGGCAGGTATTGCCATAACATGGTGCGAACTAATCCTAACTCGGCATTTTTTATTGAGACGGGGAGCGGTGATTGTTTTAAGTATTTCTTCATGGCTCTCGAACAATATATTCGGGATTTTTGAAATGCAATGCGACCTGTAATTCTAGTCGATGGTACAACTCTGAAAAGCTAGATATCAAGGCAAGTTGATTATTGCTACATGTCAAGAAGCTAACATCACCCTCTTGCATTTGGCATAGTCGACAACAGGAATGATCTGTCAATGCGTTGGTTCTTTTCTAAACTGAGGAAAGTGATCGGGGAAGTTGAAGACCTTGCCTTTGTAATTGATCGGGGACAGTCTATAATAAACGGTATCACTGAAGTTTTTTTCGATGCACATCACGGTTATTGCATGTGCCTACAAGGCAATTTGAAGACTAGGTATCGGAGTAAAGACATCGTTTCATTATTCAGGAGAGCAGCTGAAGCTTACAGTGTTGAGGAGTGTAATCAGTTCATGGTCGAGATAGGAAGTAAATCATTAGCGACGTGGGAGTATCTATCGAACATGGGGATTGGACATTGGGCGCGGTCATACTTTCCAGGACGTCGATACAACATGATGACGTCGAACAACGCGGAGTCTCTCAATGCATTGTTTAAGAAGGATCGAGAGTTACCAATTCTCACAATGATTGAGAATATTCGTAACAAGTTGCAACAGTGGTTTCATGACCGTGTGGCATCACAGAGTTGTACCAGTGTGCTGGCCCAAAAAGCTCAAGAGGAGAAACTCTTCAAGGCTGCAGATGTTGAAAGAAAGTTGAATATGGAAGTACTTGATGTGTTTTGCTTCTCCGTGCAATGTGCACATAATACGATGTACATGGTTGATTTAACTGATAATACATGCACTTGTACGAGATTTCAGTTAGAGAGTTTTTCATGTGAGCATGCAGTCACGGTGGCCATGTATCGAGGTTTTGCAGCGAGAACATTATGCTCTTTGTACTACACAGTTGAATAGTGGAGAGCAGCATATACTGAGACTATATTTCCTCTGCCGAATGAAGTCGAGTGGGAAGTTTCTGACCATATTCTCCTGTTCAATAGTTTGTTGCCACCCGCAGTTGAACCGTGTGGTCCTGGACGTCCAAGTACATCTAGAATACCATCTACCGGAGAGTTTCCTCGACCGCGTAGGTGCGGCAGGTGCAGAGTCATATGGCATACTCGCCAATTTTGTACTAGTCAAATTCCCCTAAATGACAATTAGACTGATATGTTCAATGTATAATATTTTCGTTTACTTTTACACTGTTCAATGTTTATTTGTTATCACAAATAATTACGAAGAACAGTTACAAATAATTAATTACAAAAATTTTTCACAAAGATTAATTACAAAAAAATATTTACAAATATTAATTACAAAAAAGTTTTACAAAGATTAATTACAAAAAAATATTTACAAATAATCTATGGATCACAATTAAATTCGAATAAGTCGCACGCTAACTTATTCCGTCAATTCTGTATCCATTACTGGTTGATTCCATCAA